TTGTGTCTCTTGGTTCCTCAGCCAGCCATCTCAGCCAGTCATCTCAGCCAGTCGTCTCTGCCAGTCGTCTGCCAAGGAGGTCTGATGTAGGGATCTCAGGCCCAACAACACACTCTACTTCATCTCCAGCTCGTCTCTCTTGATGGCAGTGAGATCCCATTTTTGCCTCTAGGAAGGTTCATTTTAAGCCTGGCAGAATCACAAAACTAACCAATTGTGGTGGTTACGTTTGTGTGTCCACATTCTAGGCCTGCTTGAGTGGCTGGGCAGCTGGATGTAGTATTCCCCATGATGAGACTGGTAATCAACTCCATGGTGGAATCCACTGTGAGCAGTTGAGTAGCTGCCTTTGGGTATGTGGTATGCTTCCAGTATATAAGAAGCAGCTTTGCGAATGGTCTCTAGCTTATAGCACACTTGAACCTTGCATGTAGTTGTGTCATTGTTCAGCAGCCTGCCATGCTCTGCCGACATTGGGACTTACAATGGACTTGAGTTAATGGCCTGCTATGTGGTTTGGTAACATTGGGACTGTGCTATTTTATCTGTCAACCGTGGGCTTGTTAGCCTCAGCAGCCAGTAGCTGCCTGAGTGAAGAGATGCCTCTAGCTCCAGTGGGCCGGGAGCAAGAGGCAGAGCTGAAGCCCAAGGCTGAGGGGCTTTCACCCAGCCCCTAGAGCCTGGCACTTTGAACTCGGACTTCTAGCCTCCCGAACTGTAAGAGAATAAACTCCTGTTTGTTAAAGACATCCCATTTGTGGTATATTCCTGTCAGAGCGGCACTAGGGAACCAAAACACCAGTCCTCACAGGAGGGTCCATACTCCTTATTTGCACGGTCCCACCCCCACAAGGTGCCATGTTGCTCACAAGCTGTCCAGTCCCCTTATATTTGCATAGTTGCATCCCATAATCTGGTGGGAGTCACAAAGACTGGTTAGAAAAGCCATAGCAATTAATTCACTGCACCACACCATGTGTCTCTGGTTTTCTTCATTCTTCTTTGCTTTGAACAAGGAGAGACCCGTTATTGCACCTAGATGCCGCTTGCAAGCTTTTACGACCCCGGTCACTGTTGCCGAAGCAGGCTGTGGAGCTGTTTTTCTGTGGTGTGCTATACCAGCTGAGCTTCATGCCCCTCGCGTGTGTGCACTTTTGTGTCTGCCTTATTTTGTCCAACTTTCTCTATGACTTTGAGGTCACGGAGGATTCACAGCAGTTGTGAGAAAGACAGGGAGCTCCCATGTACCCTTTACCTGTTCCCCCATGTGGCATCTTGCAAAACAAGCATTCAGTCTAGAGCTGCAGTAACAGAGCATCACAAGTGGGTGACTTGCGAGAGCGGAGATGCGTACCTGGAGTCTGGAGGCCAGGAGTCTGAATTCAGGGGTCGCAGGGCCGTGCTCCCTCAGGGCTTCTGGGGGAACATCCTTCCCTGTCTCTCTCAGCTTCCAGAGGCTTCTAGAGCTGAGAGAGACAGGGAAGGTGTTCTGTGGCCTTGACAGCATTACTCCAGTCACTGCCTCCATCTTCCCTGTCCATGTCCGTCTATCTCTTCTATCTGTCTGTCTCTGTCTCTTCTTTTCATAAGGACACACTCAGGTTGGATCAGGACCACCCGAATCTTTATGTCCTCCTGGTAACTGATGATCTTGTCCAAGACTGACAGTCCTTCCACCCAGGGTCACAGTCACAGACACAGAGGCTAGGACTTGAACACAGCCTTCTGGGAGCATTGTCAGGTGTTTATAGGAGACTGGATGCCTGCCCTGGACCAGGCTGAACCCCATACACACCTGGACCTGAACAGCCATGTTCCCACTAAGCTGTCATTGCTCCCAGCCCAAGCACACCTTCTCACACCTCTCGAGTTGTCTTCCCTGGGAAGGGTGGCTGCTTCTGTTGTCTGTTCACAAGCTGCTGTGCAGCTAAGACTGTGATTGAACCTGATTTTTAAAATTCTGCTTAGTTTATTACAACTGCTTTTCTGCTTTGCAGCTGAAGAAATAAGCAAAGCTTTCAAAATGTTGTAACGTATCGCTTATTGGGAGGGGGCAGCCGTTGCTTCCTGTTGGAGGCCCATCTGATGCCTCACAGCGCAGAACTGGGCTGGAGTTTACAGTGGTGGGAAGTCACGCTCCCTGGGCTTCCTCCCACCGGGCAAGAGTGATTTCCCAAAACAGTCGTGGTAAGCGTGCCTGCCCGTGCTTCAAGAATCAGGTTGGGGATAGAATTGCACCCTCTTGGCCCCTTGGAGTCTGGAACCACAAGTGGGTGTGAATTCTGCAGTGTGACACGAGGTGGCCTTGTTGGGTCCGGACTGTGGAGCTTGCAGAGAGGGCCATCTTTGTTCTTATAGCCTAAAGTCGCAAAGAGACCACAGAATTCCTGTGCCTGTCACCAGCACTTCACCACAGAAACCTTGTTGTGGATTCTCTCTACTGCATACTTTTACTGATACTGACTTTTCTGAAATGTTTGAGAGTAACTTGCAGGCATGATTCCTGTTGTGGTAGTAAAGGTTGTGTGTCAACTTGGCTGGGCCTGGTTTTAAGTGACTGGGCAACTGGATGTAGTTACCCCCACGATGAGATTTGCCCTCAGCTCCGTGGTGGAATCTACTGGAGCAGCTGAGTAGCTGCCTTAGGGCTGTGAGCTGCTTGCAGGGTATAAGAAGCTTTGAGGACGGTCTGTAGCTTTGTGGCACATTTGGATCCTGCATTTGGCTGAGTCTTCATCTCAGCGGCCTGCCATGTTGTCTGCCACTCTTGAGACTGTTTCTAGACTTAAACCAGTGGCCTGCCTGTGTTGCTTGATAATTTTGGGACTGTGCCATTGTGCTTGTCGACCTTGGGTTTGTCAGCTCGGCAGCCAGTCACTGAGTTACGAGAAGCCTCCAGCTTCAGTGGGCCAGGAGCAAGAAGCAGAGCTGAAGCCCGAGGTCAAGGGACTCCTAGAGCCGGCGCTTTGAAGTTGGACTTCTAGACCCCTAAGCTGCGAGAGAATAAACTCGTGTTTGTTGAGGCCATGCACCTGTGCTACCCCTGTGATAGCAGCATGAGGGAACTGAAGCACCATCCAAAGTTCAAAGCCCTTTAAGCACCGGGCTTTCTCTGGTGTAACCGCAAAGATCCTGCCGGGAGCGACCCTACAGGCAGTGTGTGGGCCTGTCCACCACGAGCACCTCCCTTCAACTTCATGCCTCTTTGGCCCTCCACCCTGGACAGTTCTCTGCGTGCTGTGGCTTTCCGAGCGAATGTTGGTGAGGAGGGCTGCCACCCTGTGGAATGCCCGAGTTTGGGTCTGGTGGTGCTTCCTCCTGATCGGGCCCGAGTTCTGCATGTGGGGCGGGGGCCTCAGGAGGGTCTCACGTCCTTCACAGTGCATTGTGTCGGGTGGCTCACAGGTCACCGTGGCCATCTCTGGTGTGGGTCCAGTGTCAGCTGGTTCATGAGTCAGGGTGGCTGTCGCTGGTGTGGGTCCTGTCGGGTGGCTCATGGGTCCACATGGCCACCGCTGGTGTGGGTCCTGTCGGGTGGCTCATGGGTCCACATGGCCGCCGCTGGTGTGGGTCCTGTCGGGTGGCTCATGGGTCAGCATGCCATCGCTGGTGTGGGTCCTGTGTTGGGTGGCTTGGGGGTCTGCATGGCTGTCTCTGATGGTGAGGCGGTAATTGTATGTTTTCTCCAATGTGTGCACGGTTTCCCTTTGTCATTGATAAGTGTCCTGTGGAAACATTGGGACCACATACATGTCCTGTTCCATGGAACCCATGATGATCCTACCTGATTTGGTTCTTACCATGGTGTCGGCTGAATAGAGTTTCTGACCAGCACTCTTGTTGCATTGACTCATTGAAACCCTGCTTACTGTCTGCCAGTCACACCACCGTGCAAGCCATTTGGCTGCTGGAGCCCACTTCGGCTCACAGTTCTTTATGTCTTGTTGTTGTTGTTGTTGTTGTTGTGTGCCGTCGAGTCGGCCCCGACTCATAGCGACCCCTCCTTGGGTTTCCGAGGCAGTATCACTACGGAAGTAGGATTGCCCAACCTTCCTTCCGAGGAGTGGCTGGTGGGTTTGAACCGCCAGCCTTCTGGTTAGCAGTCAAGTGCTTTAGCCACTATGCTACCAGAGCTCCCTTATGTCTTGTAGCCTGAGAGGAAGAGCAGGACACAAGGCCTGTGAGGGCCACGCTCTAGGTGTGGAGTCGTGTGTTATGGTAGTTTTGATGGCTAATGACATTGAGCATCTTGTCATGTGCTTATTGACCATTAGTATAACTTTGTTGGAGAACATCTACTCAGGGCCTTTGGTCTTCTTTTAATGGGTGACTGTCCTCTTCCTATTGAGTATAAGCGTTCTTTATATATTCCGTATAAACGTCCCTTCTCGGATATGTGGTTTGCAAACATTCTCTCCCATTCTGCAGGTGGTTTTTCACCTTTTGGACAGAGTCCTTTGAAGGTATAAGTATCTGACTTTGATGGAGTCCAGTCTTTTTCTTTTTCTGCTGGTGTATTTGGTGTTGTGTCTAAGAACCTATTGCCATGTCCAAGATTATGAGGAATTGCCCCTTGGTTTCCTTCTAAGAGTTTGTGGTGCTAGCTGTCACAGCTAGGTCTCTGGTCATTTTTGGATGTCACCCTCTTTAAGAGATGCAAACACTGCAGCCCCGCTGCTCCAGATCAACTTGCATGCCTCCTACCCTAAAGCTAAGTCCTGGCACTGAGTCTGGGGGGACAGCCCCCCATTGTTCTGAATCACATTCCCACCCAAGACTGTGGCTGTGACTTGGCCACTGTCATAGAGTCTGGTGAACCTGGGATTGGGGCGGCGGCCTGCCTTGCCCCGGGCAGGCACCTCAAACCAAAGTGGAGGAAGTTGGGCTCTGTCACTCCTGAGCAGGACGCTGGGCCAGGGTACCTGTCACCCTGGCTTCTCCTGAGTTTGCCACCTTTCCTGAGTGCCTTGGGGTGACCTGCATGTTCTTGTATCCTCCAGGTGCTGACCTGACCCTTAATGAAGCCAGCAGTTCGGACAGTCGTGGGGACAGGCCCGAGCTGTTCACACACAGTGATGAGGGCCTGCTGGGTGGAGAGACCAGCTACCTGGGCGCGCCCCTGACCCCGGAGAAGGATGAGGTACTGCACCAGGCTGCTGCCGTGGCCAACCTGCGGGCTGCGCTCATGAGCAAGAATAGCCTGCTGTCCCTCAAGGCGGACGTGCTGGGTGACGACAGCTCCCTGCTCTTCGAGTACCTGCCCAAGGGCGCCCACTCCCTGTCACGTAAGTCCCAGTTCCCTGGTCTGGTGACCAACCTAGTCCTGCCTGTGAAAGGAGACAGGCTGGTCCCAAGACCATGGGTGAGAGCACACAGTATCTGGGGGCCGCTGTGGTAGTGGCACCTGCAACCCTTCCCAGATCCACCCGGGTGTAGGGCCACAGGGTCGCCTGGCTGCCTCTCGGAAGCACGGGAGGCTGTGGTGTGGCTGCCCACCGGGTCTGACTCCTGAGAGGACAGAGGTACTGGAGGTGGCTGGGCAGCTGAGGGCCTTTGGGAGCCGGGCGGGGGCGCCCTCTGCTGGTCACTCTCAGCCCAGGAGTCAGGGCAGCTGAGGACCTTTGGGGGCTGGGTGGGGGCGCCCTCTGCTGGCTGCTCCGAGGGCAGGCATGGGAAGGGAAGCTGCAAAGTGAGACCAGGCACTGGCTGCCCTGGAGCTGCGATGGCTGGGTGGGCAGAGAGGACCCCTAGACCTGCTGCTGGGACAGGACCACCCCGGGAGATGCCCAGTCACCTTCAAGCATCAGGGGTACCCGCTGATCCAGCCCTAGGGGGCTCTGAGGGGACGCGTGGGCATGGACAGCCAGTGGGGGTGCTGTCTGCAGTCCTGTGAGGGTCATGGGTCAGTGATGAGCACGGGGTGGGGTGGGGAGGTGGGGCTCAGGGGGTGTACTGGTTCCTGGTGTGGTTGGGAGGCAGGGCCCTGGGCCTGGCTGCCTCCTCTGAGGCTTTGCTCATGTGTTGTGAGACCTGAGGCCCCGGTGCTGGGTGTGGAGCCTTTTCCAGCCAAGCCTTGCACTGTTGCGGCCTGTGTGGCACCCACCGCACAGACGCAGCATGTGGGGCTGCAGTCAGAGGCCAGGGCTGGGCTCCCAAGCACTGATCCCCTCTCCCTGGCTTTCTCAGGGAGTGAGGTTCTGTGGCCTCATGAGCGCAGCCCACGCCTGGTTGTCTCGTGTGCAGCTCTATGACCGCACAAGTGGGGGCCACACTTGTCAATTTGTAATGGTGAATTTTTAAATTCAGTAACCCATCAAGTCTGCAGGTGGTGCGGGAACAGGTGAACATGGAGGTCCTTTCTGGATGGTTCTGAAACCTTCCAGAAAAACCCAAAATAGTTTTGTTGTTTTCATAGGATTAATAACATCGGCTTAGCTGCTAAACTCAGCAGATGGTGGTTTTATTGCTGAATTACCAATCTTCAGCTGATCATTCCGGACAAGGATTTTCTGTACGTTGTGTTTTGATTCAGTTTAACTTCAGTCACGTTGATTACCTTTTTGACAGCAGGGTGACGCCCTACCTGTTAGCAGTCACTGCTCGCTGGGTAGAAACCACAGAGAGCATCCTCATTCCCCAAATGTCGCTGTATCTCGCGAGATGTGTATGGGTGTTAGTTGTGTGTACCTGACACACTAGTTGGCTTCTTTGGCCCTTGAATACTGCCGTGAAAGCCAGGATAATGGTTTGACTTCATGCGAGCCCCTGACAATGAGGCAGCCCACCTGGAGGGCAGAGGACACGGGTACCATGGGTGATGGCAGTGCCATCTCAGCACTCATAATGATTAACTCCAAAATGGTAACAAGTGTGTCCCCGGGCATGGATGGATCTGTAATGGTGACTCCTGCCTCATGGTCACAGCAGCTTTTTCTATCTCATGGGAAGAGTGTGCCAACAATACACCAATTCCCTTGCTCTTTGAGGGGTGGACAAAGCCCAGAGGAACCCGAGGATGGCAGGTGGGGCTCTGCCATCCACGTTTGTGGGTGAAGCTGGCATGGGCACCAGCCAGGAGGCAGGCTGTGGACACGCCCCTCCTGACCCTTTGTCTACAGGGCGCCCCAAAGTTCCGGGAGGCTTGCTGGTTTTTGGGGAGAACTCTGTGGCACGTTGTACTTGTAGTTCGAAGAATATTTCCTTGTGGGTCTGAAAAGTGAATGGAGGATCTTTAGGCTGAAACCAGGCATTTTAAACACTTCCCAGTGAAGCGGCATTTGAAGGACTAGTTCTGTGTTTTAGATAAGCCGCAAAGTCAACACGTTTTGGAAAGTACTTTCAGAAGATTATTTTCTCAAGGTCAGACATGGGATGTCTTCAGTGTTCTCTCGATGTGTTACGACATTCTGTTCTAGAACTTTTTTTTTATAATCACTCTGGGCCTGGGAGAGACCCCTGGCCCATGGAGTTGGGTTACAGTACCCAGATGCCCGCCTCCAGCAACACCTGGAAGCATCCTACCTTAGGAAATCAAGGACAGTGCTTCTGGAACTTTCCAAGCATGTAGGTGAGGCTCGTTTCCTGTGTTCCTAGGCCTAGTGGCCCCAGTCACTGTGGACGCAGTGATGGCCCAGCAGACACGCCTCCCTCAAACACGGGCAGCGATGGCCAAGTCCAAGCTGCTGGGCCCCGCAGGAGGGGCTGACAGGTTCCTGTTCCACACGTTTATGTCAAGAAAGGTCTGCTTGGTCTGTGTGCCCCTAAAGAAAATCGTCTTTAAAGAGAGCTTAGCTGCCAGGTTTGGAGTTTGAACGTTAATTAAACCCTGTCCCTGCAAGCCCTCCCCACAGCACCATCCTGGCCGCCGGGTCCCGCTCACTGTGCCCTTTGTGTGTCTGTTCCCCGGGCATTGACCATAGCCTTTCTTCCCAGACTGCAGCGACAGGCTGGCCCCATGGCGGCTGGACAGCGGCCCAGGTGAGAGCACAGCTACAACCACGCTTGCTCTAAGTCTTGCTTGATGCCGTTACTCCTGACGGTCCGTAACCTGTCTGTTTCGGTTATAGGTGGAGACCTCTCCTGCCTGACGACAGGCTGAGTGGTGAGCCCCCTCCTCTGGTCCTGGCTGGGCTTCTGTGGAGGCCATGGCTCCTGGAGCCTCACCTGGATCTGCCACCGCGCCTGGTCGACCAGCTCAGCAGCACCTGCTTCCTGCTCTGGCCTCACTTGTCACCGACAGCTTTGTCCTGGAGTCAATGACCAAAGCAAACAACCAAACTCGCCTCCATTGAGTCGGTTCTGACTCATACTAACCCCCATTGGTCTCCAAGGCTGTAAATCTTTACAGAAGTAGATTGCCTCATCGTCCTCCTGTGGAGCGGCTGGTGGGTTTGAACTACCAACCTTGTGCTTAGCAGCCAAAGCCTTACCCACTGCACTACCAGGGCTCCTTTGGAGACAGTTAAGGAGCTACATACAAGGTCACCCTGGGAGCAGAAGACACAACAGATGCTTTGAAGATGGTTTCCAGGCAAAGAGGCTGGAGCGGGTGTCCTTTGTGCACAGACAGACAGCCTCCCCAAGTCTCTTCTGCAGAAAAGCGTTCAGAGACCTCTGTGTGGGCACCAAGCAGCCCACGCATACCGAGTGCCCAACACACACCCAGCGCCCCCTGAACACCCAGCAGCTGGGCACTGCCAGGTCGTGAGCTCATGAGTGTGTCAAGCAGACAAGGACATGGACTACAGAGGGCACAGCCCAGGTAGCGGGGGGCTCAAGAAGGAAGAGTGCGTCCCATACCCCCTTACCCCAGAATCCCCAGAGATGAGCTGTCTGTGTGGCGGTGGGCTGGAACTGCAGATAGGAAGATCAGCCCCCATTAGTCAGGGGGCAGCCCCCCTCCTTTGCCACTCCCAACACCACTTTGACCAGGATATGGTTGGCGCATGTCCACGTGCCATCCAGTCTAACACTGTGTGTGCCTGAGCTGCCCATCTTCGTGGTTAATGAATGAGTTTCTGAAGATGTAGGAAAATCAGATGTTTCATGAGGCTGTGGGCACTGTGACTGTGCCCTGGTCACACTCTAGCCATGCTCCCTGCGTCAGGAGACCAGCCGGAGGACCTCAGCTCTTCCAAGATTATATGCCTTCCTAACCAACCAGTTTCGTCAAGTTGATTCTGACTCACAGAGGCCCCACCTGTCAGACTAGAACTATGTGTCACAGGGTTTTTGATTACTTTTTTGAAGTGAATGCGAAGGCCTTTCTTCCAAGTCACCTCTGAGTGGACTCACACCTCCAGCCTCTCAGTTGGCAGCGACCTTGTTCACCGTTTGAGCCACCAAGGACTCCTGGTGCACACCTGTTGAGTCCCAAGGCCTATGTGAGTTCCAGCATCATTTATGAGAAGACAAAGCTTGGCTTCCTGTGCTTGTTTGCTGCCCTGGGATTTTTCAGCTGTGAGGTCCCAGAGGACCTGGGTCCAGCCTGGGCACACTGTGAGAGAAGGAATGTATGTGGAGGCCTCATGTGGAGACTTCCTGTGCGGATCCTTTGTTAATGGGACAGCACATCCCGTTACAACTGTGGAGGGCACGTCCACACCGCGTGGCTGAGCCATGCTCACAGGATTGCCTTCCCAGATGGAGGGTGAGAGGCAGGGAATGTTGTCACAGGGGTCAAGGACTCTGTTGTGGAGGAAGGATTTGACGGAATTTTGAAAACACAGAGAAATTGGTGTGTAACAGTTGGTAAGCTGGGATGTGAGCAGCATGTTCAGGACCGACCGTCTGATTTCATTCCTGTGTCTAACGTCCCCCGAAGCAGTGCCATCCCCCATTTCCAGCAGGCTCCCTCGGCTGTTTCATCTCTCGTTCTGTTGGATTCTTCACTGAAATATTGTGGCTCAGGGACTGGTAGCAAAGAGGGCTTTGGAAGAACCAAATGTAACATTAATCTTTCTTGAAACCAGAATTTCAATAATAAAAGGCAGATTCTTTACTTTGGATTATTTACTGCCACAGAAGTCGCTCCAGGCCTACAGGTTCACTTTGGACTTCTTAACATATTATCATCTCCACAAAATGGTGTGGTGACCTCCCAAACTGGGATCTCTACCTGGTGTTGTCATGTGTGTGTGTGTGTGTGTGTGTAGATTCCCATTCACGTGGGGACATTAATCTCTACCCATTGGGGTGAGTGTGTATGTGTATATGTGTGTGTGTGTGAAGACTTCCATTCGTTTGGGGACATTAATCTACTAATTTAGACTGAATTTAAAATATG